GCAGCCAGGTTTCACTCTTCTTCCCCTGCTGAGTTCAGACTTCGTGCCTCCCCACAGCTGGGCTAGGCTGCTCCTTGTGCTCCTGGAACATGTGTGCCCAGTGTTCCCCCTTCACACTCAGCTGACAGGCTTGCTTCTCACTTCTCTGAGAAGTGGGAACGCTCTCTACTTCCTACCAGACCTCTCATCCAGCATTCCTTTCTCCTCCTCCTTTCCTCCAGGTGCAGGTCTCAAACTGTCCCTTCCCCATTCAAGGTGAACCCCTCTGCTTACGCTCTGGACACTCCCCCGCACCTTCTCAAGGACCGCTGCCTTGAACCTCCCCTCTATCTTCAGCCTCATCAAGCCCTCCCTTTCTTCTGAATGACTCCCATCAGCCGGCAAACATTCTTCATGCTCTCCTTGGGCCTTTCAAGGATCTCCAGCTGCCCTGCCATATCTGTTTCATTCTTCAGGAGGTATTTTCCTGCCTCAGCTCTTCTGCACACCGATCAGGCATCCCCCTCTGCTGTTTGACTGCAGTAGCCCTGCCGGAGGGAGGCGGTGACCTCCTCTTCGCACACCCAGGGCTGAGTTTCTGTCCTCATCGGGCTCCTCCCTCTGCAACTCTCACCACCTTGCCAGGGCTGCCTCCTGATTCCTCGCCATCTACCAAGCCCTCTCTGCCCTGTTCCTGTGCCCTTGTCTTTCCTGCCACTCTTGGTGGGTGGTCTCAGCTTGACCCGCAGCTTTAAATAACATTTATTTGCTGGTGGTTCCTGAATTTACAGCCTCAGCCCGGACCACTTTTCTGCACTGCAGACTCTTGCATTCAGCTGCTTACTCCACATTCCCATGTCGCTGTTTCACAAGCATCTCAAATTTAATGTGTCCTGGAATGAACTCTTCATTCTTGCCACTTCAGTCTATGGCTTCCCGTCTTCCCCATCTCAGTAAATCACATCTTCACCAGCCCAGTTGCTCTATCCAGAAACCTGGACAACCTACTCATCTGTTTTTTCCTACCCTGAGTCAGTTTGTCAGATGTTCCCATTTAGCCCATCTCCAAAGCTTATCTTGAGCCTGGCCACTTCTTAGCCCCAGCCCTTCTTCTCTCCCTGTAGCCCAGGCTATACTCGGCTCTGGGAGTGGTCCCCTACTTCCACTTGGGGAAAGCAGCTCTGATCTATGCCTACAGAGCATCCAGGGAAACTGTAATGCCTGCCTGAAACCTTCAGTGGTTCCCCATCATACAGCTGACACAGCCCTGCATGGTCTGCTCTGGCCATTCTTCAAACCCTCCTCTCGCCCGGTCCCCACCCTTTTGCATCACACCCAGCCTATGGCCGGCTCCCCTCACGTCCACTTCCTTGGTTCACTGGTGTATACTCAGTCTCCGGGAGCTGCCGGCGAAACAGATACTGTGTGAACAAATATTTGCTTTGATTGCTAAAATTATTGCTGTGTGCTAGATCCTGGGGTAACCAAGATGAGCCAGACAGCATGCTCTTAGTCTAGTGAATGACACAAATGTGTACACATAGAATATTGTTTGATATGATAGGTGTGATCATGAGGAGAAGGCAACCCTGGGGCTAGAAGAAGCTTAGAAAAGGTTTTCAGGGAAAGAAATATTTGAAGTGAGTTGATGAACCTCTTCAGAAATCTAAAACAGTATATTTAAACAATAAGTCAGGAAGTCAGATAATGGAAAACTATGTAGAAATATTAATATTTGGTGGCTTCTGGCTTTCAGCTTGGTGAAAAATTTTTTTCTATTTTAATATTTCCAAATACTCCATTATGAATTTTTTGTTTTTTTAATTATAAAAAAAGTTAAAAAAAACTTGGTGGGAAATAGTTCTTTGACACACACATGTACACACACAGAGTGGTATCTTAACACAAGACAGGCAGGGATGTCTTGCAATGAGTTTTCTCATCTGTTTCTGGAAATCAGCTACAGTTACTGAAAGTAAAACTTCTTGAAATTAATTTTCCCCAAACAGGAAAAAAAAAAAAGGTAGAAGAAAGAAAAAGTGAGAAAAAGGATGAAATCCTTTTCCTCAGTTTACAAGTTGAGCAGGTAGCCAGTAAGGACAAGGAGGAGGACAGAAAATAGGATTTTCTTGTCATGTTCCACTTGTAAAAGTCAGTGGGTATTTTTACAGGTACTAGCTAGTCCTTCCTAAAAATCTTCTATGGGGACAGGCTGTGAAGCAGCAATAAGAAAGATAAATGCTATTCTGGAGAGTAATTTTAGTGCAGGATGGAAAATGTGAAGAGAAAAAAATTAAAGATCAAATGGAAAATCCATCCACAAGCCAACCCACACCACAGAAGTGTCAAGCAACATGTTACCTAATTAGTCCCTGCACCAGGCAGGGGCCTCTTTCTGCAAATGCCCCTCCCCTCGTGGCGGGCTGCCTGGCGGGGAGAGTGTTTGTACCGCATGCCTTATGGGTGGCTATCATTTTGCAGGGAGCAGAAGGCTTGGAAAGACCAGCAAGCTGTGACCTTTTTCCCCTTATTCAACAATGCAAATATATTTTTCTGTAATGGGTAGATGTTTCTGAGTGAAGCATTCAGAATGCAGGTGTGTGTGTGTGTCTGTGTGTGTTGCAGGTGGGGGCTGCTTTCAACCTCTGATCTCTTTTCACCTCAGCTCCTCTTTCTGTCCAGGCATAGACTCACATAGGCTCACTGAGACTTGGGTCTCCTCCTCCTGTTTTACTTCTGTGCTGAAATGATCCTCCTTTAGTGCCCTTCTGAAGTTTAGAGTTTTCCATGCTCCTCAGTGGCAAGCTTTCGTGTCTCCAGTTGCCCTGACTTGCAGTCTCCAGTAACCACCTAGCTGTGGGAAGCAAGAAGGGAAATGACGCTGTAATGAGATAAACTGGTTTGTGTGCTGGGCTTCAGTTTTCCCCCCTCCCCTTTGCTCACACAGCAATGTCTTTCTCCATAGGAGTTTCAGAGTCAGAGAATCTGAAATGACAGAGACTGTCCTGAAGATTTACTGAGAGCTCTATACTTGGACCTCCTTAGTAATCTCAAGAAATCTGAGGAAATGTGACTTCCCTCCTGGGACAGCTCACTGGATGATACAGACCTGTTCTAGACAAGGGCGGCCAGTGGCTGGAAGCAAGAGTCACAGCCCACACCCAGCATTGAGCTATTTTACTTCTGGTCAAAGGACCTTTCACTCCCACCCAGGCAAACAGTATTTTCTAATGGTTGACTTTAAGACATCAAAGCAGTAGGATCCATGGGCGTAATTTCCCATTTAATTTAAAACAGTAGACAATCCCAAGGGACTTTGCATAAAGAAGGTGGTCCCTGGTCTGGTCTTCAGATACCTGCTGTATTATATCCTGAAGGCCCTTTAGGTGGAGATTGTCCACGCAGTGGACAAGGGAATGTTTACTCCCCTTGCCTTCAACCCCTGGTCTGAGGATATGTCCATTCCTCTATTTTAATTATTATCCTTTGAGAGATTTAGTCAGGTCTGGTTAGGTTTAGAATTCAGTTGGAACCTGGCTTGGAGGGGTTTTATTGATTTATTTATTTTTCACTTTGGCTATAATTAAAAATGGTACAAGAGGGTCAAGGAAATTCAGACAAGATCTCTATTTTGTCCTCTTGTTGCCGAGAACCTGACTTGATAAAGCAGTGATTTGAGATGATGACTGTTGAAATCATGAGTTCAGGGGAGCTTCCTTACAGAAAGCTGGCATGAGCCTCAAGATGGCCAGAACCCACACCTGCCCAACTGACCTGGGGTGATCAAGGTCTTCCTTTGCCTAGGACTGTCTCAGTTTTAAAACTGAATGTCTTAAATCTTGGGAAACCCCTCAGTCTTGAGAAAATCAAAGTGGCTGGTCACTTACTTGGAATTAAAGTTTGAATGAATCAAAGCAATGAGATAACTGGGAAATACACTTGATACCTGGTTTTAGTTTCCTTTGTGTGTAGGATGGACCCTGCTCACACTTGTTTCACTAAAGGGCATAGGGGTGGAGACAGAAGAAGTAGAGAAAAGAGGTGGACATGGACTATTTCTGTGCACTCAAGGCAGCTCATTTTTAATAGTGGCCAAATTTAGATTACCCAGGGGGACATGTGATAGCCACATAGGTTGAACCTAAGCTAAGGAAAACAATTTCTGCTCAAAAATAATGGGATGCAGAATGAATCTTTGTGTAGAGAATCTTCCTGAATTCTTAGGCAGACATAGATACTTTTTCCCTGTGTGC